GTCATCGCTCTCAGATTTTTGTGGAAGTACTGCCCCTACACCAAGATCAGATGATCCACTTCAACAAAAAATTGTTTTTTGGGATCTGGATGACACAAAATGGGGGCTTGTGAAAAACGAACATTTAACTCACCGAAAGCGCTGTTTGCCTCAGGAGTCCAGGTGAACAGTCGTAATGTAGAAGTCAGTCGGGTGAGTCGTGCGGTGATCTTGCTGTAATCCCTGATGAACCGTCTGTAAAAATGAGCAAATCCCAAAAAACGTTGCAGTTGTTTACAATCATTGGGAACAGGCCACTCAGTCACTCCCTTTACTTTTTCAGGGTCTGAACAGAACTGTCCTTTTTTCTAAGATGAAGCCCAGGAATGAAACAGATGTAACGTGAAAATCACACTTTTCGGCCTTAACAAATAGTTGATTTTCATACAGACATTGAAGAACAGCTCTCACATTACGTTCATGTTTAAGTTCACGGGAAAAAATGAGAATGTCATCAAGGTAAACAAACACGCAATCGTTGAGAAAGTCTCTGAGGACGTCATTGATAAGTGCTTGGAAAACAGCAGGGGCATTTGTGAGCCCAAAAGGCGTCACAAGATATTCAAAATGGCCCAATGGTGTCTTAAAAGCTCTTTTCCATTCATCACCTTCCTTGAGTCRCACAAGGTGATAAGCATTTCTGAGATCTAGTTTTGCGAAAATTGTGGCTGAGTGGAGCTGATCATGGACAGTCAGAGTGGTAACGGATACTTGTTTTTAACTGTTATTTGTTTTAAGCCTCTATAGTCAATACATGGCCTCAAGGTCTTATCTTTTTTGGCCACAAAAAAGAAGCCTGCCCCTAGTGGAGATGTGGAAGGCCGAATGATGCCAGAACCTAGAGAGTCCTCGATGTATTCCCTCATGGATTCTCTTTCAGGACCAGAAAGGTTATACAAATGACTGGATGGTTATGAGGAACCAGGAACGAGTTCAATAGAGCAGTCGTATGGTCTAATGTGGTGGCAGTGATAGGGCTCTACTCTTACTGAAAACAGATCGTGGTAGGCCTCGGGAACTTTAGACAAATCAGTCTCCTCAACAGGTTCCTCCCCTTTAACAGAGGTGGACATAGCAGATTTTAAACAATCTCTGAGACAATGAGAGCTCCAACTTTCTATTCTCTTTTCTTGCCAATTAAACACTGGGTTATGAGTACTGAGCCACGGGAAGCCAAAAATAAGTTGTGGGACAGAGGAATCAAAAAAAATGAACTCACCCATTTCATGATGATTACCAGACACAATAACATGTAGATTGGAGAACTTTTGCTTGACTTGGGATAGTAGTTGTCCAGTAACACAGGTGATGGAGCGAGGGGAGTCAAGTGACGTGGTTGAGATGCCCAACTGTTCAACTAAATCATTGGATATGAAGTTCTGTTCCGCACCAGAATCAACAAGAGATGAAATGGGTAATTTTATTTGCTGAAAAACAACTGTGGCTGGCAATGAAAGCAATGAGGTAGGGGAGAATTCAGTGTTCCTCGTCAGCCTCCCCTGAGTTACTGACGAGCTKGTCCGTTTCCCCGAAGTGGACATGTAGCAACAAAATGTCCCTGGTTACCACAGTAGATACATAATTTAGCTGTGAATCTCTCTGTCTCTCTTCAGGCATTAAGCGTGTTCATCCAGTTTGCATTGGCTCAGGTTCACTTACAGCTGACGTGGCGAGGGGATGAGGAAGCTCGCTGGTGGAGGCAGAAACGGAAACCCGTGGATTCTGGGAGCTGTAGTCTCGTTCTCTCTTTCACTGAGTCTGTTATCGATGCGAATTGACAAAGCGATTAATTCATCTAGGCTCCCGGGTTCATCCCGGGAGGCCAACTGATACTTGATTTGTTCAGAAAGGGAGTTTACATAAACACCTTTTAAAGCCAGTTCCTCCCAACCAGCCTCCTCAGAGACAAAGCGGAAGTCCACAGAGTGGTCGGCTACAGATCTTCTTCCTTGGCGCAGATTAATGAGACATTTAGCTGCTTCCTCCTGCTGGAGGGGATGGTTGAATACACATTGAAATTACTGAAGAAATAACTGTGTGGTGAGAGTTTCAGAAGAATGAGCCGACAAAAAGGCTTGAGCCCATCTTAAAGCTTTTCCTTTAAGGGAACTCACAATGTAAGTTATTTAGGCTGAATGATTTGGGAACAGAGGGAGATCGGGCGAATGCCAACATGCACTGTAATAAAAAACCTCCACACTGATTCAGATCACCATCAAAAAATTCTGAGGGTCTGTGTTCTGGTTCACGGGGTGAAAAAAATTGGTGCAGGTGAGGGTGAAACTGGAGCGGAAGGATTAACAGCATTTAATCTAATGTCAATGGAAGTGACATGATGAGAAACTTGATTAAGCAATGTACTCGTTTCTCGATGTAACTGAAATAATTCGTTTAACATGCGTTCATGTTCACTAAGTCTAGTATCCTGAGAAGCAGGAGCGCCAGACGCCTGATTGTCCATTGTATTGCTTTCGGACATGTCACTTGGCTGAAGCATACTATCAGGTTTTTCAWAGGTAAATCAACGTGAGCAGATACCAGTGGGAAAACAGAGTCAGAGGCCAGAATCAAAGTTAATATATTTATTTTATAGGAACTGGGGAAGGAACGAGACCTGGAAGCAGAGAGTTGGCAGAGGTGAGTAAACTGACAGGTAATTCCAGGGAGTAATTTCTGAGAGGTGTTGGTGTTGTTTCTTACGGGTGAGGGCTTTAGGTTTTGCGTGGAGGAGCAGGTCCAAGTGTCTAAAATCCAAAGGTGAGTATTTACAGGTGAATGCCCTATTTACAGGTGCGTTGGAGGCAAGATGGCAGCGCATGAACTGGTGAGTGGCTCAGGTCTTCTCAGGTTGGCGTGGCAAGGATCAGGCAATCTCCAAGAAAATCCCTTGGGTCTGAAAACAGGTAAGCACACAGGAAAAACACGAAGGTAAGTAATACTAAGGTCTATAAGAAAATGGTCACAGGTTGAGTTCATACCAAAACAGTTGTGATGCTTCAGCGAAGAGTTGATCCTCAAGTCCGTCTTATAAAGCCAGTGAGGTGATGAGCCAGTCCTTCTCAGGTGAGTTCAATTAGCGTTGCCAGGTACGCAGAAAGGCATAAGGTGAAAATCACCAAAATTCCTCAGACCCATGGTGACCATGCCTTCTTCTCTGTGGCCCCCAGGCTCTGGAATGAACTCCCTTTTAATCTGTGCTCCCTTGATAACATTGTCTCTTTCAARTCACTCCTAAAAACTCACTTTTTCTCTCAAGCGTTTTAGAAAACCATGTTCACCATTAATGCCAGCCTACCTCAAATGTAAATGCTCGTCAATCTGTGTTTTTAATTATTGAACTTAGGCCATATTTTTACCTCCCGCATTGATTATGTTTTGGTGTTGTATATTTTGCGCTGCATTGACCTTGTGTTTGATTTAAATTTTTTAGAAATGTTTTCTTGATTTTATGTTTTCAATTTTTCGTTGCTTATGTTTAATTATGTTTTTCTGTTTCATATTCTTTCCACCATTTTTATACCGTTAATGATTGTAYAGCACCTTGTGAATATATTTCTGTGAAAGGTGCTTTATAAATAAAACTTCACTTACTTAAAGCTGCTGTATGTAGTTTCTTGAAAACCCAAAAACTTAGAAAAATTTTGAACAGATACAACCTTCTAGTCCCTCCCCCTGCTCTCAGCTCCCCTTCCTAAGCTCCTCCCCACAGCAGGGCCCAGAGTCTGGGCGCACACTTGTAAGCAGGAGGTGAGCCACATCGTAACACAAAGAGCTCAGAGCTACGCTGCCGTCACAGGTAAGAAAAAACCATCAACAAAATACAGTATTTTTAACTTATCATGTCTTGTCCATACTTTATCTACACAAGTGCTCCTTTTGTCATAATGTTACATGTAGATTATGTTGCACTCTTTCTATAAGTTATAAATAGCTATCAAGCTAACACAACACCGAAACTGCGCAGTGGTTCTGAATTCCGGTCTTCGTGACCCACTATCCTGCATGTTTTATTTGTTTCCATGCTTTGGAACACATGATTTAAAGAATGAGTGATTGACAGGCTTCTGCAGAACTTAAAGACCTGCTGAAGAGCAGGGAAAATAACTAAAACATGCAGGATAGTGGGTCACGAAGACCGGAATTCAGAATCACTTTAGGATTTCAGCAATATGACAAGCCTGTGTATTAGTATTTTTCAGCTATTGCTGAATGTGTGACATTTTATCTTTATGCTATGCAGCTAGTTTTTGACAATCATCATGTACCAGCTGATGGAGAGAAGCTGTCGTGGAGCATCACGCAGGTCACTGGGAGATGCAGCAGCATGGGTTCAGCTCCTGAGAACCTCAGCAGGACATCTGCATCTCAACCCTACCTTCCACTCATCAAACCATATATTCTGCAGGCARGAGTCTTGTTTCTGGCCAGGAGGATCTGTAGCTGACCTTACAGATGATGCTGAAGACAACAGGCAGGACTGTTTTAAACATATTCATGGACAGTACAGTGGATTTATTCCCTTGAGGCAATGCATTTTTAATACTGTCTTGCCATGTACATAACATTTTCCTATTTACATTAATATTTCTATTATAATTTTGGTAAATATTCTTCAACAAAGTGTTAAATGGTTTTAGTATTAGGTAACTGCTTATTAGAACTAAAGCATCACTTTACCATTGAACATTACTGAATTATCTTTTGATCAATTACAAAACACAAACTTACATTAGGAATCATGATAAATCACTGGGTYAGTGCAAGACATGTAAAACAAGAACTAACATCTTTAAAATATGCTCTTAAAAACTTGTCTTTTTTAATAGACTTATTTTAGTCTATYGTGGTAATACACTGAAACGTGTCCAGTATGTCTGAAGGGACCTAAAATTACTGTCCAGTAAAAAAAGAAACGTTTTTATAGATTTATCAGATATATAGGAACAATGAACTTCACAGGATTATTAAATATATTTATTTGACATATGGGTAAAATAAATCTGTTATTTATTTGCACAGGTAAATACATTATTGCTGAAAGAGGATTCCTCCACATTCCTCTGTGTCTGGGACAGTTTCTGACCTGTTGAAAGAGCATAAAGTAGAAACTGTTTYAGATATCTTGATCAAATTCTCAAGCTGTGGAGGAAGACTATGAGGATATAAATGCGATGTAAAAATGCAATGCCATTTTTTTCCAATATCATGCAGCCTGTTACTTTTATTTTATGTAAAACAAAATTTATTATTTAACCTGGCTGTAAAGCCAGTAATGAATAAATGTTTACACTACACTGTATAAAAGGAAACATTTTTCACTTTAAGTTCTCAAACTTTTGCTCTTGTTTCTGTCTCCAACAGTTTGTCAGTTTAAAATCTGTTGCATTGAATAAACCACCGAACTTACCATCAAATATTTCCCTTTGTCCTACAATTAAGACGAACATCAGAGCTACAACAGTTGCAGTCCAAAAAATTAATCTCGACACAAATAGTTTATGACTTACCTATTTTACAAAGCCTGAATAGGAGTTTCCCAGAATCCACTGCATCTCAGACCTTCCCCAAAGTCAGCTTCTCTGAAACAATTACACAGTATAATGGAGTTAAACCATAACCAGATTTTTAATTCAACACATTTATCACAAACTGAATTTTATTTTACGTACGTCTAGACCAACTTACCYATATAATGTTATATATTTTTTTGGTTGTAGAATGAATCACATGATCTACCAGACTAAACATYTAATAACAGATTATAAATCCTGCAGAGGCTGAACAAACATAGAGAACTTGGCAATAAAAGCCTTCAATATATTTTCTTACCGATCTGCATTACCAACAACACTGGAATGGACCAGAAAATGATGTGTGGTCATCTGAAGTTTGGTTGTTGTTGTTAGCCAAATAAACATACAGACATCTACAAAAAAACAATTACATAAATAATTTGTCATTGTTGTCTTTAAATCACACACATTTAACTTTGTAATATACTCCTAACATGTCACACTGACATTTTCATCTTTTATAGAAAGATGACATTCAG